TTAAGACGTTTTGTGATACCTGAACTGCAGCAACGTGGCATTTTAGATACCACGATTTTTATGCAGGCCGGAGCCCCACCGAACATTGGTACATGTCTCACACAGTTACTTAGGCACCATTTCTCGAATGAACAGGTTAGAGGTCAACACTTCCCCACTTCTTGGCTACCCTGGTCACCAGACCTCAATTTGGTAGAACTGAAAGTTGCAATATATTCCTGCTGATGTGCTTTGAGAATGCAGTAATATGATTTAACTTGCTTTCAGAAAATCGTGGATGCCACATTGAAGATGCTTTGTGACATGTTTCAGAAACGACTAACACATTTAAACTGATATCTTCATGTCTTATTTCATTTCAATACTGCATAAACGCCATTTCACCCCCCCCCCCCCCGTTGGAGAATTTTTTAAAACTTTTTTTTTTCCGCGGAAAGTAAATTCCCATGACCTCCTTTATATGATTACCAAGTTTGATATCATTTGGTTCAGTAGTTTTCAATTTATGACCATTTTAAAGTGGAACTTTAATTGTAACCACCTTGTATATTGAATGCATGAATAACACATGTTAAGAACTGATCTAAAAGCAAAAAGTGTTGATAGTGTGTATTGTAAAGGAAAATTAAAAGCTACCATATTGCAAATAAGTTTGTTTAAAATTAGACTCTCCAGTCAGCAATTTTAAAATTAAATGAAATTTTAAATGTTGAGCATTTGGTATAGGTTTTGAAATAATGTGTTGTTGAGGTCTGGTGTATCTGGATATTTTAAATGTGTAGGAATTGGGCTGGAAGGTAGAAGTTGCTAAATTATTTCAGTATCACACACTTGTTCACCTAACATGTAAAGCTGAGGAGCGAGTTGAAAAAAATGTTAATATGAAAAGAAATGAGTTGTAAAAGGTTATTCTTCTGTGTGCATACTGTGTATCTCAAAGTATTTTCTGCTAAACTATTTTTTCTTCCAGTTTCCTGGAAGGAGATGTGAGTCAAAAAAAGTATCGAGGAAAAAAAAATTTTTTTTTTTGAAGGATATGAAAATGTAAATTTAACAATAATGTTACGTTAAATTAAATTTTGTAAAAGCTGGCATAAGCATTTAGGTTTTAGATTTTACAATTTCATCCGAGGCTATTATAACCATTGCATTTTATTAGTTTAAATTCTGATATGGACAAACATAAGGTGTTTTATGTTAAATAACCGATTATTATGATTTGAAACCTTTCCTGCAACTTCTCCTTTCCATAGTCTTCACTAGGATGCAAATTAGATAGTCAACTATTTAAGTCAGTTTTGAATGTTTTAGATATAGAACTCTTGGTAGCTGTGCCTGCAGTTTACATTCTGTCGTACATCTGCCAATAATTATCATGTCTTTAGCTGTCTTCCTAGATGATGTTAAAAGCATACCATTAAAATATTGAGCCAGCTTAAGAAAAACCAGTTGAAGTAGTCTCTAAAAATGATACCTTGAAACTGAATTTTGTCATATATAATATGCATTGTGTAAACATGCTACTTGATGCTTCTTATTTTGAACATTATCCATATTTAACAGTAAAACAGGGCATGTTATGTGATAGAAGTGGCCACAGTATTTGTAGTTACAGTCTTGGAAACTTAGTGTATCTGTGAGTTAGGCAATTGGGTAAAAAAATGCATTGTTCCGTAGCTGCACAAGTGTGATACAACAGTGACTGTTACCTATGAAGTGTGATACAGATCATGGGCATGTTTGATCATTTATAACTAGGATTGTTGTTGAATAATAAACGTGTTGTATAATTAGCCAAATCACTTGTAATCCTCATGCTGTGGTACAAATATTAGGAACAGAACTATTGTGGGAGTATCCAACATGCAGCTCAATTTTAATGTACAGTTACAAGCACTTTGCATGAGATTTGTCTATCCTACTGAAGCAACAAAAATCTTTAGCAGCAGTTACCCTAGAATACACTAAGCAAAGTGTAAAAAAAAATTCCCATTAAGATTTGGTGCACAGCAACAGCAGCATATCGTCTCCACTCTGCTTTGTGTAATGAAAGACATTATGGAACATTCCCTTATAAGGCAAGGGGTGTGGAGTGCCTCAGAAGGGGTTAACCCCAAAAGGATGACTTGTAATGTGTCCTTAAGCCGAGCTACTGTGACCCAACTAATGGGGAGCACCATTGGCTTTCTCAGCATATATGAGAGAGTGTGGAATATTCAAACTGACGTCTGCTGAGATTGGACTGTCACATTACTTGCCCAGATAGGTGAGAATTAGGAACCTGGTACGTGTACATAGTATTTCCATAGCCAAGATTGTAAGTGTACAGGTCTCAGCCACTGCGATAAATGACCCTGAGGGAGGAGAGACTATTGCTACAGTGGAATTTGCTAACATTTTTAATGACTAATTCAGAAGGGCACATCACAGAAGACTTGCTATTCATACTGTCAGTTAGAGAATTGAGCCAAAGTAGCTATCCCAGTTTTATAACCAACATATATTTTCTTCACCAGCTCTTTATCTTCCTTTCCAGACGTATATGCAGTGCATATAATAAATACAGTGTATGAACTTCACTGTGTATAATATACACAGCTTGTGTTAAAACTCTATGTACAGACTTCGAGGGGAGGTAAAGAAAATCATTATGAACCATATTCACGTAGGAAAACGGCTGGAAATAGGTGACACTATACACCAGGGCTCCAAGTCCACACCTGGGGTTCTTCATTAAAGCTAGTAGTGTCATGTGGAAAACATACATTGTTATATGAATGCCGAGCTGGTAGACATGCATGATACACACGGGCTACCTGGTGTGATAATAGACAGCCCCATTGCAAGAATTACCATTGTTGTTGCTAATATCTACCAAACTCCAGATACCTTTGAAAATTTTCAGCAGTCTATGAGGCTTTGGTATCAGGCACGTTATGACATGTGCAACTTTGTGATGAGGTGTATGATCTCTGTTGAAACTAGAATGCCCTATATCTCCCAAATACATTTCTAATCAGTAATTGTAAATATTGTAATCATATCACCTTAGGTGAGGTATTGTGCCGATTGCAGGTGATTATGAAATGCCGTGTGTGTACTTTTCATTTTGTTCACATCTTTGATCAGCCCTGAGAGTATTATGACATTAGATATTAGGAAGCCAGTATTTTTCCTCACAAGTCCCAATTATCTGATTTAAATGAGTGCTGACTAATAATGATTGGATAGTGAAGAGTTTTCAAAACGTTAAACAAGCAGTAACATTTTATTAGAAAATCAGCACTATACAAAATATAAGTACTACATATTGAAATTAATAGCAAAATTTATCTTCTCATGTTTATAATAATACAGTACAAAGTCCGTAATCCTGGACTCGTCGGGACTTCGGAGATTACAGATTATATAGCTCATCAATTTAAATCTGGTAAGACGGCATGCAGAAATTATGCAATTAAAAATATGAAACCGTAATTTATGAAATAAAGAGCAATTATGGTCTAAAGGGTATCAAAATCCCCCCCCCCCCCCGAAAAAAAGCAGAATATTTATTTGTTTACTTTATTAAACATTTCTTTCAATGTAAGTTGTTTAACTTGCTTCGTTGTTTTGTGCTAATACTTTCCTTTTAATTCTATAAACAGACATAATTTCTTGTTCAGTTACAAAGTTCCACCTATCACAAGCAGTATTTTCTGGATCTAGAACCATACTACAGATTTCGCCGTTCGTTAATTGATTGATGATTGGGGCATTGTCGTCGCAATGAAAAACTTCTGTTTTATCATCTTCATTTATTACATTTTCTCCACATTTCTTTACAAAATCCAATAACTGGAAAATTTCACCTTTAGTTTGCGATGTCTAAAAACCTTCAAATTCGTGGCTATCATCTTCACCGTCCTCACCATGAAATATAGTAGCTGGCCATAAATTATGCCAAGCATTTTTTAACGTATCTGGAGACATCCTCCCAATGTGCATGTGCATGCTACACGTGCATTAATGTGCATGCATAAATGCATTTCACGCATGCATAAAGCATACAAAAAAAGTTTGTGGCTTTTGGGTCCGGATAATAGGTCATTCCGGATAATTGACTTCCGGATTACAGACTTTGTACTGTAGTATAATTTTATTAGAAAATAAAGGATCATCATTATCTGATTAAATAATAATATGATTAATTTGAAGTACACTTTTAGATTTTATGTACAAGTTGTGCAAAGTAAAAAATGGACTGTCAATGAATATTAAAGAAGTGATAACATGGATTCTGTAAAGTTTGATTAATTGCTATGCTAAGAGTTAGTTAATGCAATGGTCAGAAATGCTGTTTACAGAAATTTGACTCTCTTGGAACCTAGACAGGCAGCATTGCTTGAATGAAAGATGCAGCACAGTATTGTTATCAATGACTTTTAATATGAGTATATACCAGACAAAATATGATGGTATGCTAGAGAAAACAAAAATAATCGGATGATTAAGATTCTTTTTTGCTTAATTTATAAAATGAATATAACAAATTGTATAAAATAACAGAAAGATTTTTTTTATTGCTATAAGTTATCTGTAGCTTATTTTTAGTGAAATGACAATAAAAAAGGAAATATGCAAATTCCGTGTTGGCGTGTAGATTAATTACACTAAGTAAGAACCTCTAACATGAGTAGCTATTGAATGCAAAGACATATTGACTTAAGTAAGAAAAAAGTTTTCTGATATGCAGTGCAATTAAGGTTTTCAAAAACCGTGCATTAAATTAGATAACTGGAATTTGATTCATGATTTTCCTTCATCTGAAAATGATGTGTCTATCAAGAAATTTATGCCCTTTCCCCAGAATTATATATGAGTAACTATAAGCGAATCCCTTAAGAAACCCTCTTTAAAAATAATCCTGTTTTGAGTATGTTATTGCTGTAGTATAATTTACAGTATATGTAATTTTTAATAATATACTGAGCTTATATTGTGTGTTCTTTCATCTATAGCTTGGATGGAATTCTCAACCAACACGTGCTGTAATATTTGAAGATTGTAGAGTTCCTACATCAAACAGAATTGGGGCTGAAGGGCAAGGATTTAATATTGCTATGAATGGCCTCAATGGTGGTCGAATTAATATTGGTAATTCTGATTTTAATTTGTTGCAGAATATGTTTTGTCTATTTTTACAGATGAATGAGAAATATCTTCAACATATGGAAATTCGCTTGGCCCTCTTAGTATATGAGAAGGAGTGAGGATCTGCTTAATGCCACTATGATTAATTCTGTTTTAATATAAATTTTTTTTCCCTTGAATCTTGGAGAAATATTTAATTTTTTATAATGCATCATTATATGATTTTTTGGACCCCTGATAAGACACCAAATTGCTGTTAATTCATTACTGTTGCTGCTAGCATAAGATTTAAATTATGAACATACAGTAACTGAATGGTTTGGATTGTCAGAAAATGTTTAGTTGAACAACTGAACATATTCTTCAAAACTGTAAACTACAACACACTAATGAATTTTTAAAAACAGTCATGGTTTCAAAAGAAATGAAAACTTTACTTTCTTTTGGTAATGTATCAGTTTGCTTCTGTATTGTTAGTTTTACTTTAATTTACATTGTTTTTTAACACCTGCACTGAATAGACTAGATGCTAAAAACATTACATATAAATCAACAGACTAGACCAATGGAATATACTGTAGTTGAAAGAGGCATAATCTTTCTCTACTAGTATGCTTACGGGCACTTCTGTGGCGTTTATATTTTAAATTTTGCTAACAAAAGGCTAATTTTTTTTTTCTGCCTCTTTTTAAGATTTTTATTTGAATTTAAGATTTTTCTTTGCCACATGGTTCACTCATTCCAGAATTTTTGTAAATTTTGAGTGGCAGGCAGTTTTACATAAAGTGTAGAATTTTAAAAATAGGAGTGGAAATGTTTTGGCCCGCGTTTCTACTGCCCTACTTATAGAAGAAAAGCCTGTTGTTACTGGAATAGATGGAGGTTAGATCCTGCTTGTGTTCGAAATTTTAATAATTGAATTTTTATTGTTTGTGAAAGGAAGCATTGTGATGACACCAGGCTAGTAAATTCCTGTTATATATTTTAATCTTAACACTCACAGGCAGTGAAATCGAATAAACCTTTAAAGTTATTAAATTAGAATTAAAAAAATATTTAAATTCTGTTGTATAATGTTTGATGCTTAGCTATTCTGGTGGTGGTAATTCACTGCTGAGAACAAATATAGCACCTTAGTTTTATGGTAATTAACATCGTGTAGTTATAATTGAAACTTTAAACAGGTGTTTCCAGAATTCATACTGTCCTTAACAGCCCAAATCGGCAAAAGATCCGTAATGTTATACATCTGACATTTCCGTCTGTTTTTTATGACTGCCATTTAGAGTGTGAATGAGCATTTTGGAGAAATATTTTTGGATTCATTAAAAATATGTATTTGATGATCTGTCATTTGAATTCTTTCCTAATTCTTAAAAAGGACTTACCTCGATTGATACATTAACATTTTGAAATTATTTCGTTTTTTTTTAGAAGGAAAGGTTTGTAAGGTATTACATCAGAAACATCCTTTCCCTTTCTGAGGTATGTTTTCTTTTATTATGTGGCATTAGATTTAGTGATTTATCAACATTTTGGCTATTTCAAAATCAAAGTTTCATACAGAAATTTTTACCCAGATATTTAAAAAATTTTTGACGATGTGTTTTAAACAAACATAATAAAATTAATAAATATTGTTAAAAGAATGATAATATATTGAAATTCTAACTAAGAAATAGCATTAAAATAAAGTATTTTTATTTTCCAATGTCTTGTTTAAAAATGATATTAGTTTCCATTTTGGTGTCTTAGGAATATATTGATTCCGAAAACTTAATAAAATAGTAAATGCTATGAAAACTTCAGTTTCTAAAGAACATCTTAGCAAAAGAAAAAAAGCTGTTTAAGTTCTCTTAAAATATATTTTATTTTTCTTCTTTAATATTTTTCATTAGTTTTTCCTCCCCATGTAGTTGTTTCAGAATGTTCAAAAGTTTTCTCATAGAAAGCCACTTTACTTTTCTGAATATTTTATTCAAAAATCTTCTGGCTTTTTGCTATTACAGATTTGACGAGAATAATTTTTAGACCTTGTCCTTAGAAGGATTTGAAAGCAAAATTTATAAACCGTCAATTCTAGAAGATTCCAAAAACGTGTGACCAGTTGAAAGGTGTTTTTATGGTATTAACATGTTATGAATGTGTGTTATAGGGAATTTGTGTTGAATTTTTTGGAAAAGCAGTGAAAACAAAGTTATTTGAATGTTTTGCTTTTAAACCTAGAAGACTTTGTGTTAACATTTTTAACTTCCCTTTATTTTCTCATCTTTTTACTAGATACAAGCATAAAAAATTGCAAAAATAGTTCTAATCTTGTCACATGGACAAACATCTGTAGAAAGGAATTTTTTATTAATAAAGAAATTGAAAACTGGCAATTTAAAGATATATTTTATATGTCTCATTGCACTGTACACAGGGCATTATTCCACCTGGTGCAATTTTTATGGGTCCTAAATTCTGCTGCCTGGTGTCTGTCTTAAATTCTAAAAACTTTTTCAGGCCTAAATTTGGTAGCTCATTGCTTCACTTACTTCTGAAAATTCTTGCCACACTTGCTCCAGCACCGGCCTTGACCTTATATCATTTTATTTTCATTCTCAGTACTTATATTATCAGCGAAGTAAAATTAAACTTTTCAATAAATTCTAAATGCATGCAATTCTTCAGAATAACAGAAATCTTCAATTAAATTTGAAACTTTGAAGTGTAGAGGAAATTTATTTAGAAAGAAATTGATTATATAAAGAGAGAGAAAATTATTCTTCGATGGTATCTTGTTAAAACGTTAACAAGATTTAGAGGATTAAGCAGAGACTAGTGGGAATATTGATTTGTTTATCAAAATAAAAAAGGTGTTAAAGAGAAGAAAGTTGGTGTAAATTAGTTAAAATATCTTACGAATTTTCAAATTAAAAAGCTGCATAAGTATTTTACTGTGTGTTATTGCTATGTGTAATTATCCTAATATCGTTTTAGAATCAGTATCATAAATTACATGCCTAAAGTTTTTGGCCTCACCTAGAGATAACGCTCCCAGAGTTACTTTGACAAAGGCACTTAAAGGTGCCATCTTTGGTTAATTCTTCTTGCGTATTTCAAAGGACTTGTGTTTGGTTGTTTACATACTGTGCTGTTTAAAATTTTTCTTTTGTTTTTAACAGTTGTTTAAAACTGAAATGCGAGCTGTGATAAAATATTTTTAAATGGAAGACTCATCACCAATGGATATTAAAACTGAGCTAGATGCTACACTGGGGTTCATTCATTTACAACTGTTAAAACATGGGTTGCAGAATTTAAATGTGGTTGTATAAGCACTCTGGATGTGGAGTATTCTGGATGACCAGAGTCTGCCACTACAGGTAAAATCGTTAGAAAAGTTCACGAAAACATTATGAATGATTCCTGATTCTTGCTGACCTTGGATCAAAAACTGCAGTGCATGATGACATCAGAATAATGTTTATCACTATACAACTCAAACCAAACTGATTTTCTGCGGTGTTTTGTTACTGTGGATGAGACATGGATCCATAATTATACTACAAAGACCAATTAGCAATCAGAACAGTAGAAGCAAATGACAAACTAAACACACACACACACACACACACAAAAAAGTGCACCATTTGCTGGAACAGTTATATCAACATTTTTTTTTTTTTTTTTTGGACGTTAATGGAATTTTATTATCAAATTATCTAGAAAAAGGCAGGACCATCAATACTGAATATTATGCTAATCTTTTGAATAAATTGCATTCCAAAATCAAAGAAAAAAGACCAGGTCTGGCCAAGAAGAAAGTCTTGTTTGACTAGGACAGTGCTCCCATTCACAAGATTGTCATTGTGATGGGAAAACTTCATGAACTGAAGTTTGAAATTCTTACTCATGCACCATATTCTCTTGATATGGGCTCCTCAAACTACAGCCTCTTCCCCAACCTGAAAAAATTTCTGGCTGGAAGGAAATTCGGTTCTCATACCAAAGTCATCTGAGCGACAAATGCCTACTTTGAGGCCTTAGATGAAAGCTAAGGCCCAAGCGTTGCCGCACCACTGGAGCAAGTGTATATGTTTGGAAGGGGACTATGTTGAAAAATAAAGTAAGCATTAAAAAGATTTTTTTATTATTTTCCTTGTTAGGCAGGAAAATTTTCAACCAACCCTCGTAAAAGGTTCTTAGATTATATTTGAGTAACGCTTTTTGAAGAGATATTAAAAAAAAAAAAAATAGTGACTATGTAAATCTATATGATTGTAGATATCTTGCTACATATGTAAGTATTCATAACTTAATTGCTCACCTTTCAACATTATCTGTATGTGTTAAGGTCAGTTGTCTTTCCTTTATCCTTGCTGTGGGCATGAGCTGTAACACAAAAATGTAAAAGTTAACATAAATCCTTATTCCTTACAGCTAATGATACTTAATATGAAACAAGTTACTACTTCTGGTGCTTATTGGAACTTTAAATACTGTATATTAACTGAATTATAACTTCAGTAACTCTATGTGAAGCTCCGACACTAGCTGGGTCTAACAGACAAAGTGCAACTAACTTTCAACACAGTCTAGCAAATGTAAGGCATTAATGTCTATTCTGATCAGTATCTCTCTCTTAGCAAACAGCTGTGCTGGCAACAGCAAAACTTCTGTTAGTAATCAGTGCTGCTTAAGATTTTATTTGTCATTATTGCCTATGCTGCTTGACATAAAATTTGCATAAATCTATGGACTGAGTGAGTACATAATGAAACAAGGCATAAAAGGAAGAATCAACAAAAACTTGAATGTCACTAACCATCTTCAAAATAAATGGAACTATTATAAGTGTGAAATATAAATAATATAAGTTGAAATTTTGGAGGAGTTTTGTAATTTAATGCTAAATTACCGGATAAATTTACAAAGTAGGTTTTACTCTTGAATTTGTTTAATATTAGATCATGTTTAATAATAATGTATCTTATTTATAGATTTATTTTATTCTAAGATTTTTATTACAAAATTGAAATTTTGGGCATAGATAATTGCTTTAGTTTATTCAGTTTCTTTGCTGATAGTTCCTTAATTTTGCTCATGAATGTTCCTTAAATGTACTTAATTTCAATGGGCAGAAATATGTACGAACCCTCGTTACACTTCAAGTAAAAGTCAAACATGAGTGGATTATCCCAAAGTATGCAAAATAGTTCTTTAATGAAGTTCTAGAATGATGAATATAATTACTCTGCAACGCTATAGAAACAATCTTTACGCCTGTACTAATGTTCTAAAAAAGCTATTGTAATGCAAATTATGTAATGGTTATTATTTTAAATAGTGTTTTTGCTTTTTATTATTGAGAACTGCATAAATAAAAGGCTTCTGTATTTTATATATTTGTTTACTAAAACACCTTTAAATAATATGCTAAACTGATACTAATCTTTCATTTGATGAAAAACAGTGCTTTTGTTGGTTCGTATCAGGTTGAACAGATGTAGATTAAATGTTTGCACAAACCGGGACTTATTTGGATATAAGGCCATTAAAAAAAGATTAAAACTAAAAAAAGGAAGAAAAATTGGAAATATTTTTTTAAAAAAGATCAAAATGAGTTATTTTTTAAATATTTTTAAATGGAGAAATTACTGTTTTTACAGTTTTACAGTTTTATCTAAAATGAAAAAATCAAGGTAAAAAGCATATGAAAAGTCATTTTTTATATTTTTTCAAACATTTGTTTACAGAAGATTGCTTTAAAACTTTATAAAGTTTTTTATGTTTTGTGAACATCAGTTAGTGTCCAAACTCTTGGTAAACATTAAGTGAATTATCACTAAACCTAAAATAACAACTGAAACCTGAAAAGGGTGTAAAAGACCCTATATTTAAAACTAAGAAGAACAGAAGACACACCTGTTGCTTATAACTCAGCTAACATTTATGGTGACATAAATCAAATATAATTTAAATCTCATGTAAGCTTGCAGCTGAAGACTACACAAATCAATTTAACACAAAGTTGGCTTACAAATATAACTGGTGTGGAAATTGAATATCGTCAATTATAATGCAAGGCAGAAGACTGCAAATCTAAACTAGAAACTAGCAACCAAGTAAGGTGGCCAGGCAGAACACGCATAATCAGAAAAACCTCTTCTTAAATACATGCAAGTTAATTTGCATTCTGGCACGGAAACAGAAGAAAAAAAGTGACAGTAAAGGTTTAATCATAAAATAGCTGTTTAATGAACATAAAGGAATTCTTAAACAACTGAAATTTTTAATTTTGGGGAACTTAATGTTTTAAACTTCCTTAATTAATTATTTAAGTTTTATAGCTTTAAACTCATTTATTTCTGTACTACCTGCAGAAACAAATTGTGTATATATTTAAAACTTGCCATTCTGATATAATAAAGTATTATTTTTAGTTCTAGTCACAATAAAAAAAAAATATCCAGTATTTTTTTATCAATGAGGAGTTGTTATCAAACATAAATCTTGGCACAAAATGTAGCCTGATATAGTAACAATGCGTTCAGGATACATAGCTTTTTAAAATATAATTGCACATCACAGTTGGATTTAGCTTTAAAACAGCTTCTTGCAAAAGTGAAAAATTGCATCCCTATGGAACTATAAGAAAATTCTTTTTTGCATTTTCTAATGAACATCAAAACAACAGTGTAACCTCAGTAATTTACACAAATGCTTTATGAAAACTTGTCACTTAAAATACTTCATCTTAAAAAAACAATTAACAGGAGTATAATTCAGGCAATATTTTTTTACAATAATAAAATTACAGTATACAGAATACACCAACCAATTCCTGTCAGTTTTCTCTCTGTTACTGGAATATCTCTTATAGTTGTTTGAAGTGAACCTACATCCGCTAGTATCAGAAGGGAAATCTAAGTTATATATTGGGGACACTGGACCTACTTTTGAAAGATAAATTCTTTCTGCATCAGAAATACGATCAAGCCATAGTCATGGATCAGAACTCAAAACCAAAATGACAGGATGATATTCATTCATCTTTCTCCATCTAAGTAAGATGCATTTTCTACCTCTTTCATTTCTTCCTCTTTGTCTTGTTGCTCAACATAATTAGGATATCTGTGTGCTAGAAAACCATGCAGGAATTGCTGTTCATTTGGCAGTTGTTTGATGTTTGGCATTGTGAATGTTTGCTATCACTGATATGCTTACACAAATTTTGGCTGGTTGCAAATTTTGGCTTTGCATTAATGGAAATGCCAAATTTGCAGTTACTGAAATCGTTCACAATAAACTAGTACATGGTTGTTATCCTTCAGTTATGGTATGAATTGCATCATTTTTCAGACTGTCATAAGAAGCATTGATTTTTGTGGCTGTCATAAAAGCAGGATCTTTCTTTCCTTTATTTTGTGTGTGTGTGTGTGACAGTCATAAAAGCAACAAGCAGCATCTTTTTTGTAATAGTCATAAAAGCAATACCCTGTAGTATATATATTAGTTTACTTTAATATTAAATAAGGAAACTTGTCACCTCTAATTCCTAAAATGTGGCAAAGGCTATCCATATCTTTCTGTTGACATCAGAGAGGCTGCACAGATTTCAGATGTTGGTGGATTTTAGAGCAGCAAGTTTTCATTCATCTGCTGTAATATTGGTGTTGTTTCAGTCTTTATTGAAAATCATTTCTTTATTAAAACCATCAAATAAAATACATGTTACAAAACATTTTATCTCATACTTTTTCAGTTAACAAATCAGTAACTTGAGCTTTTTTATACTTCATATCAGAAATTCCATTTTTTATTCCTTTTGAGTATGAGCATGAAATGTTCTGATTATAACACTTTCTTCATTTTTTATATTACGAGATTTCCT